TTGTTTGGCGGGCCCGGGCTGGGGATTTGAACCCGCCACCTTAGGTGTATGTGGCTGGCGCCTTAGCCGCTTGAGCCACAGGCGTCGAGCCCCCAAGTCTGTTTAAAGAGTCCACAAATCACCGGCATGTGTGACAAGGGGTGAGGCATATGCCACCCATCTGTCCCCAGATGGTGTCGGCCCTGTGAGTGCCCAGTTCCTGCCCAGGTGAGGCTGGCCCTGCCCGGCCCTGAGGGCTCTGCCACCCTGTTGCTGTCTTTGGAGGAAGTGTTTTAAAGGCAGTGAGGTCGGGGGTGGGGGGTGTCAGAAACAGGTTCACACTTTTCCTTTTAAACATGTCTGCCTGGACGGGTAGTGTTGGCCTTGCCAGGGAGGCCAGATGGTGGAGGCTGCACCAAGTCCTCCCAGCTGCTGCGGGAAGTGTGTGTTGTGGACAGGATATGGTTCTGTGTGATGGAGACCTGCTCTGAGACCAGGCTTTGCCCTAGGGCTGCGTCAGAGGGTGTCGAGTGGGGGCAAACAGATGGCCCCTAAGATGGCACCTTGGCTCTGCGCCAGAAGACTGCAGGAGTCAGATGGGAGCTGGTGCACCAGGCAACCCAGGCTGAGGTCCTCAGAGGTGTGCAGTCATGAGGCCATGGGCCCTCTGCCTATGCTGGCCCCCACCTCACCTGCATGCCCAGCCAGTCCCAAGTGTCCTCTCCTGGGCACTATCCTCTCACAGGCAGTGCTGACCAACTGTGAGTGGGATATGGACAGGCTTTGGTAAGGGCAGCGCTGCAGGCCAGGCTGCAGAGAACGGTGGGTTTGACTTCTCCAGGAGCTTCCTGCCCATAGCCCTTCTGCTTCTGTAGCCAGGTTGTACACACAGGGCACACACAGGGCTGCAAACAAGGCACACAGGCTGTACATGGGACACTCAGGCTGCAAATAAGGCACACAGGCTGCCCACGGGGCTGCAAACAAGGCACACAGGCTGCCTACAGGGCTGCAAACAAGGCACACAGGCTGCCCACGGGGCGTACACACAGGCTGCACATGGGGGTGCACACAGGCTGCATGCAGGGGGCTCATGAAGGCCATGGAGCTTGACCATGACCTTGGTAAGCTGATGCACCCCAGAAGTGGATTAGGCAAATGCCTGGGGAACGTGTGGAGGGATGTCATCCTGGCCTGGGGTCCCAGGTTTAGCTGTCAGTGCTTATGGCAGTACAACCATTACCTGGACCTGAGGTGTGCAGTAGAGGCCGGGCCTCTGTCCAGGGCAGGTGGTGGTGTCACACTGGCTGCTGCTAGAGGCCACATGGAACAGGGACACACACTTGAATGTCCTTTTGGAGCTTTTGTTTTTTGGAACGGTCTCACTGTCACCCAGGCAGGAGTGCAGTGGCATCATCATAGCTCAGGGCAACCTGATCTCCTGGGCTCCAAAGATCCTCCTGCCTCAGGTCCTGCGTAGTTGGGACTACAGGCACCACTGTGCCCAGCTGACACTTTTTTCTATTTTTTTGTTAAGGTGGGTACAAGGGTGTCTCACTATTGCCCAGGCTGGTCTATGTCTTTTGACCTCAAGCAATCCTCCTGCCTCAGCCTCCAGACTCCTGAAGTGTTAGGATTGCAGGTGTGAGCCACTGTACCCGGCCCTTCGTGGTTTTTAAATTATCTTAACTGACAGCGCAGTCTGCTCCCACCTGTCTTTAATTCCATCTCCTGCTTTGGCATTTCCTGAATAAACACACACCTGAGTCACCCCAAGAACTAGGAGGAGGATTTTTTTTCTTTTGCAGTTTTTGGCCAGGGCTGGGTTTGAACCCGCCACCTCTGGCATGTGGGGCTGGCACCCTACTCCTTTGAGCCACAGGCACCGCCCATTTTATTTTATTTTATTTTATTATTTTATTTTTTTGATACAGAGTCTCACTTTGTCACCCTCAATAGAATGCTGTGATATCACAGTTCACAGCAACCTCAGACTCTTGGGCAATCCTCTTGCCTCAGTCTCCAGAGTAGCTGGGACTACAGTCACCTGGCACAATGCCTGACTATTTTAGAGATGGGGTCTCACTGTGGCTCAGGCTGGTCTCAAACTCATGAGCTCATCCACCCACCTCAGCCTCCCAGAGGGATAGGATTATAGGCAGGAGCCACTGAGCCTGGCCAGTTAGAAAGAAGATTTTAAACAGCAGCAGTGGCCAGATGGCTGGCTATTGTCCAGGAAGCACTGGGACTCAACTCTGCCCCTGAAGTGGACCTGCACCATGATTTAGTATAAATTTCTGTTATGTAGGGCAGCACCTGTGGCTCAGTGGGTAGGGTGCTGGCCCCATGTACTGAGTGTGGTGGGTTCAAATCCAGCCCCAGGCAAACTGCAACAAAACAATAGCCAGGCGTTGTGGCGGGCAACTGTAGTCCCAGCTACTCGGGAGATTGAGGCAAGAGAATCACCTAAGCTCAGGAGTTGGAGGTTGCTGTGAGCTGTGTGATGCCACGGCAGTCTACTGAGGGCGATAAAGTGAGACTCTGTCTCTAAAAAAAAAAAAAAAAATGGCGGCGCCTGTGGCTCAAAGGGGTAGGACGCCAGCCCCATATACCGGAGGTGGTGGTTCAGACCTGGCCCCAGCCAAAAACTGGAAAAAAAAAAAAAATTTCTGTTACATAACAGCCAGTGTAGCTATCAAGTGACATGTACTGAATCGTACAAAGTGGCTCACAGTGCACAGTGGAGTGGCGAGGTCAGAACTACAGTGGAGGTTTCATGAAATGGAGAGAAACCAGGGCCTTGGGGTACAATCCCATTCTAAGAAAGCTCATCTCCAACTCCACACTGTTGGAAGTGTGGGTGAATGAAATCTGTGATTAGTGGTAACAGTCTGAATCTAGGGATGACTGAAGGTGACATAGTCCACTTTCATCTTCTACTTGGTTGTTTGGAAATACTTCTGATAGTGACAGCTTCTGATTCTGTAAACCTCATCATCTTGGGCTCCAAGCCTGGGTTTGCTCCACGTTCGGCTTTCTTCCTGAGCCTGGAGCTCACCTGGAGACTTGAGTCCCTGGCACACGTGCAGGGCCAGGCATGCAGACACACAGCACCGGCAGCCTCGGTCAGGACGGCAGCTGGGCAGTGCAGCCAGCACCTGTCCTGGAGCCTGTGCCTGCAGGCAGCTGGGGCAGACTCAGCCTCAGCACCAACTGCAGCCATAGCTGGGGCCAAGAGAGGGTCCTGGTTCCCTAGCCTGTCACTGACAGAGGTCCTTTGTGACATCAGATTTCATAATCAAAATATTTTTGGATTTATTATGCCTTCCAAGATGATTGTGTGGCCTTGTTTGCCTCAGAGCTGTTAGATTATATTTCTTTCTTTCTTTTTTTTGTAGAGACAGTCTCACTTAATCACTCTTGGTGGAGTGCTATGGCGTCACACAGCTCACAGCAACCTCCAACTCCTGGGCTTAGGCGATTCTCTTGCCTCAGCCTCCCAAGTAGCTGGGACTACAGGCGCCCGCCACAAGGCTCAGCTATTCTTTTGTTGCAATTTGGCGGGGGCCAGGTTTGAATGCCCCACCTTCGGTATATGGGGCCGCGTCCTACCCACTGAGCCTTCGATATATGGGGCCGCATCCTACCCACTGAACCTTCGGTATATGGGGCGGCGTCCTACCCACTGTACCTTCGGTATATGGGGCCGCGTCCTACCCACTGAACCTTCGGTATATGGGGCAGCGTCCTACCCACTGAACCTTCGGTATATGGGGCCGCGTCCTACCCACTGAGCCACAGGCGCCACCCTGTTAGATTATCTTTCAACCCCATGCATTAGTCACAAGAACTTTCAGGAGAAGTTTGAACCAAAATCTAACTGTCTGAACACTGCATTACGCCACCATTCTTAGCAGTGCAGAGCAAGATTGGAAACCGGTATGAGTCGGCAGCTCTCACTGCTGCTAGAGGGTCATTTCCCTGAGCAGAGCTGGGACACACCTGTTCCCAGTCACAGCACCAGCCCTCCAGGCACCCACCCCCACCCACTTTAACTCCATTGTCCAATAGTGAGAAACCAGGCTTTCCTTACCCTGAATTTATTTGCTTACTATTAGTATATGCTCTAACAATTGCTAACTCATGAAAAACAAGCTTGCTCAAGAGAGCACGTTTGCTTTAACCTCGTGGTGTGCAGCCAAGCGCTCCTGCTCAAGCCAGGGCTCTGCATCCCCACCCCCTAGGCATGGCTTTATTTGTAATAGGTTTCTTTATTGTTTGTATTCTGTTCTGGATTCTCCCCAAAACAGTTGGTTTCATTATTGATTTTGGCAGCATGTAAAGCATTACTGGGGCTGAGGGTCAGTTATACACAAAGTTCCACTCACTTCTCTCCAGCCCCCTGTTCGCACCCAGCCCCGTAGGTGACAATCTCACTTCCTATTTATTTGACCCCAGGTCTTGTTGCACTAATGAGCATATGAGTATATTTTCCTTAGCTCTTTTCTGCATAAGGCACACTATTTTTTTTTTTTTAATATTCACCAATCTGCAGCTTGGGTGAAGCTCAGCAAGTCCAGCTCACCCTGGCTCCAGGCAGTTGGGGGGGGTCGTTCTCCCAGCCCTGAGGGTCCTCTGTGACATGTGGCAGGTGCACTAGCTGCTGCTCTGCTCCAGGGGCCCCTAGGGGGTAGCCTGGCTTCGTCCCTGCATGGAGGCTGGCTCCAGAGCTCCAAGAGACAGAAGGCAGTGCTGGGTGGAAGGCAGAAACCGGGGCCTCTTCATCTCCTTCTACTACTGGCCAAGTAATCCAGTTTAATAGACTGCCAAAAAATTGAGGGGTTGTTTGAACACTGTTAGTTGTGTTCAAACATCAGCCACCAAATGTTATTTCCCTTCTGTCAGAGAAACGTATACCTTTTTGCACTTTTTAAAACAAAATATACTATACCCTGGAAATCTCGGCCAGGTCACTGAACTGTCCCAACCATGCAGAACAACAGCACAGGACAGCAGGTAACGTGCAGCATCACAGCTGGCTCATGCCACCTATGTTCGAGCACTTTAGTTTCCAATATTATACTAATGTACCAGTAGCAGGCTAGGTGCGGTGGCTCACACCTGTGATCCCAGAACTCTGGGAGGCTGAAGCAGGAGGATCTCTTGAGTGAGACAGGCCTGAGCAAGAGTAAGACTCCATCTCTACTAAAAATGGAAAAACTAGCCAGGTGTGGTTGCAGGTGCCTGTAGTCCCAGCTATTTTGGAGGCTGAGGCAAGAGGACTGGTTGAGCCCAGGAGTTTGAGAATACAATAAGCTATGATGACACCACTGCACTCCAGCCTGTGTGACAGAGACTGTCTCACTCTGGTACATTGGTACATTATTTTTGTAATGTTACATCCTCATGCATGTGTACCTCCAAAATTTCTAGGTTTATCCTGAGGGTGGGTTCCTACAAGTGGGCTGTGGATCCAGACACGCACAGGAGGCTACTCCCTGCCCACCCTCTCTGGGAAGTGCAGCCACGTGCACATCTGTGAGCTCCTGCTCCAAGGTTCACACGAACTGCATCTGGAAGCTGCACTTACCAGTGGCCACGTGTTAATTTTTCAAATCAAAATTATTTGGATGTTAAACATTTTATAAACCTGTTACTCAGTAACAGTGTAGGGAGTTATTTGTATTAACAGTAGAAAGAAGGGCTGTTTTGCAAAAGCCATTCAAGAAGAAAGGCTCAATTATTATACTGCCATCTTCCTGAAAGATAAGTTTAGCATGGCCAGCTGGGGGGTAGCTCAGCTAATGCCCCAGGGAGAGGGGTGGGTGTGATCAGCACGTGCCCCAGAGGGGTAAAGGCCCTCTAAGCTCTGTAAGCGCTGACAACAGTTAGTATGTGAGGTACACACTGACTCCAAAACAGAAGGGAATTCCCTGGGCGAGTGTGATTCAATCCGACCTCAGACCACTGAGGATAAATTGAAGAATTCTGGTGCCTGGCAGCACCGATAGCTCAAGGGGTGGGGTGCCAGATACATACACCGAGACTGATGGGTTCAAACCTGGCCTGGGCCAGCTAAAGCAACAATGACGACCAGAATACAAAAATAGCCAGGTGTTGTGGCAGGCACTGTATTCTCAGCTACTTGGGAGGCTGAGGCTTTCAGGGTTGCTGTGAACTATGATGTCACAGCACTCTACCCAGGGTGACAGCTTGAGACTCAGTCTCAAAAAAAAAAATAATTCTGGTGCCATTTCTATCAGCTTTCTCCAAATGAAAGGCTAATAACTACTGCTTCCAAGATAATAGTTTAAATATAAACTTTTTTTTTTTTTTTTGAGACAGAGCCTCAAGCTGTCCCCCTGGGTAGAGTGCCGTGGCATTACAGCTCACAGCAACCTCCAACTCCTGGGCTCAAGCGAGTCTCCTGCCTCCGCCTCCCAAGTAGCTGGGACCACAGGCGCCCGCCACAACGCCTGGCCATTTTTTGGTTGCAGCCGTCATTGTTGTTTGGCGGGTCAGGGCTGGGGATTCGAACCCGCCACCCTAGGTGTACATAGCTTGCGCCTTGGCCGGTTGAGCTAAAGGAGCCGAGCCTAAATATAAACTTTTTTTTTTTTTTTTGCAGTTTTTGGCAGGGGCTGGGTTTGAACTCTCCACCTCTAGTATATGGGGCCAGTGCCCTACTCCTTTGAGCTACAGGTGCCGCCCAATATAAACAGATTTCTAAAAATTAAAATGTTAAGGGCCAGGCGCAGTGAATAGTACCTACACTCCTAGCACTTTAGAAGATGGGGGTGGGGTGGGGGGAGAATCAATTGAGGCCAGGAGTTCAAGACCTGGGAATTCCACGTAACAAGACCCTGTCTCTGCAAGAATAGAGATTAGCCAGGTGTGCTGGTGGCAGCTGTCATCCCAGGTACCCAGGAGACTAAGGTGGAGGATCACCTGAGCCTAGGAGTTTGAGGCTGCACTGAGCCATGATGATGCCACTGTACTCTGGCCTGGGCAACAGGGCAAGACCCTATTAAAAAATTAAAATGTTAGGCCACCACAGTGGCTCATACCTATAATCCTAACACTCTGGGAGGCCAAGGTGGGTGGACTGTCTGAGTTTGGGACCAGCCTGAGCAAAAGCAAGACTCCCATCTCTACTAAAAACAAAGACAGCCAGGTATGAGGGCAGGTGCCTATCATCCCAGCTACTTGGGAGGCTGAGGAAGGAGGATCACCTAAGCCCAGGACTTTAAGGTTTCTGTGAACTAAGATGATGTTACAACACTCTAGCCAGGGTAACAAGGCAAGATTCTGTTTCAAAAGACAAAAAAAAAAAAAAAAGGCTTGGTGCCCTTAGTTTAGTGAGTAGGGTGCCGGCCACAACCACCGAGGCTGGTGGATTCAAGCCCAGCCCAAGTCTGCTAAACAATGAAAACTGCAACCAAAAAATAGCCAGGCATTTGTGGTGGGTACCTATAGTCCCAGCTACTTAGGACGCTGAGTTAAAAGAATCATTTAAGCCCAAGAGTTGGAGGTTGCTGTGATCGGTGATGCCACCACACTCTGAGGGCAACGTAGTGAGACTCTGTCTCGAAAATAAATAAATAAAATAAAAAATTACATAGTTCAACTTGTGAATTGAAGGTTATCAAAAAAATTAGATTGTTATTTTGAACTGTGGAAAGGTGAGACAGAATACCATAGTAGTCATGCTATAGAAAAGGTAATGTGACAATGAGGAACAGCCTGGTTTACTCAAGAAGCTGTGACAACACTCAGTTCTAAAGGATATGCAAATACAGTGATCTCTGAAGGATTTGGCAAAGATTTATTTTTTTCCCTTTTCCAGTTTTTTAAAGTAGACAGAGATTTACTTAGAATAAAGCTGATTTTAAGAGCACACAAAAGCTGAGCACAATGACAGGGTTAAATTTGGCAACTCAAAAAGTCAATGCTGAGGAGGGGCCTCCACAGAAAAGGTCATCACCCCACGGTGGGGCACCGCCCGGCACTGCAACAGCAGCAGCAGTTCAGAGCCCGCCTGTCCTGTGGAGGCTGGCCACGCTTCTCCGCCACACTTCGATCCTAATTGCTAAGGACAAGGGGCACGGTGCGTGTCTGCAGGAACAACTCAGACACAGCATCTTCTACTATCGTTTAAATGTAAGGCCACAATAGTTATTTTAGACAAACCCCTTAAAGTAGTAATTTTAATATCAATGTTATCCATTCTTTTGAAATACAAAGTGTTTTAACTGAATTAAGGTTATAAGTAATTTTTAAAATACTCCATATACCATGACTAATATATTAAAATTATTTATATGTAGATATGTCTAATGTCCAAACAAAATTCACGACCAGCTGTTACAGTAGATATTAATCAGTCTGACATGCTTATTAATTGATCCCGTAGGTATACGTATAGGTCACAGCATGATTTTAGTGTCTATTCTTTCATTTTACTAAAAGAAATGCAGCATTTACAGAACACACAAGCTATGCAGCCACCCACGGTCAGGACAGCTCCCCAGTCAGCTCTGCAGCCAGCTCAGTATCAACCCTGCACACGGACAGAGGTGGGATCTGAGTCTTCGTCGTCAGAAGGTGCTGGTGGAGGTTGTCAGACGCCTTCCAATGTAGATCCTTAGCAGAAAACGTAGTTAGCAATTAACGTCACCCACAACTCCAAGTGACTCTGCAGAGCTCAAGCAGGGGACTCACTGCCATTACGGCAATGGAAGGGGACTGGCTGTTCGATACATACTATAAAAAATTTTGTAACCAATCTGTCATCTTCTGTCAAGTGTTTCATCAATGTATATTTTATATATTAATCTATCAGCAGCTAATTCTGTCCTGAGACCACACTGTACTAAATACAGGTGTGAGAGCACCACCCACCTGCGTGCCATCACCACACACAACTGCCTTCAACACCCTGCTGGAGAGCCACCTCCACGCAGCCCAGGACAGAACAGCAGTGTCCCTGTGCTGGCACAGGCCAGGTGTGATGGGGGAAAGGTGCCCCAACCCTAAGATGAGGGGCATCAAGGTGGCTCCCCTGTAGCACTGCTCAAGCCGATAGGGGGCCCTCTGTAAGGGAAGAGAATGGGTCTCTAGGGAAAGGGACAGGCCTGTGGGCAGTGGGAATTAGTGGGGCTGCAGAACTGTCTGGGACAGAAATCTGGTGAGGCATGTTGAGTGTAATTTTACTCTTGACAAGGAGGCTGCTAAGGGCTCTGGGTGGGGCACGGCACCCTCAGGATCTGAAAATCTGAAAGGGGTTGCAGAGTCCGCCCTGAAGAGAAGGCCTGAGCCAGTGTTTAAAATGCACATCTCGGGGGCGCCTGTGGCTCAGTGGGTAGGGCACCAGCCACATGTACCAAGGCTGGTGGGATCAAACTCGGCCTGATCCAGCTTAAAAAAAAAAAAAACAGTGACAACTACAACAATAACAACCAAAAAAATAGCCAGGCGTTGTGGCAGGCACCTATAGTCCCAACTATTTGGAAGACTGAAGCAACAGAATCATTTAAGCCTGAGACTTTGAGATTGCTGTGAGCTGTGACGCCATAGCACGCTAGCCGGGGCAACAGCACTCTACAGCTTAAGATTCAAAATAAATAAATAAAATGCACATCACAGGGCCGGACAAGGTGGCTCATTCCTGTAATCCTAGCCATCTGGGAGGCGAGACGGGTAGACTGCTTGAGTTCACAGGTCGATACCAGCCTGAGACAGAGTGAGACCCCCATCTCTAAAAAAAGCCAGGTGTTGTAGTGGGCACATGTAGTCCCAGATACTTGGGAGGCTGAGACAAGAGAATTGCTTGAGCCCAAGAGTTTGAGGTTGCTATGAGCTATGATGCCACAACACTCTACCAAGGATGATAAAGTGAGACTGTCTTTAATAAATAAATAAAATAGGCTCAGCGCCTATAGCTCAACCGGCTAAGGCGCCAGCCGCGTACACCTAAGGTGGTGGGTTCGAATCCCCAGCCCGGACCCGCCAAACAATGACGGCTGCAATCAAAAAATAGCCGGGCGTTGTGGCGGGCGCCTGTGGTCCCAGCTACTTGGGAGGCGGAGGCAGGAGACTCGCTTGAGCCCAGG